GAGAAGGAGGAGGAGGAGGAGGAGGAGGAGGAGGAGAAGAAGAAGAAGAAGAAGAAGAAGAAGAAGAAGAATTAAACAAAAATTTCAATAGCCTTCTGTTTTCTAATGTGACTCTTTATCCCCTTGTTTTCTCATGTGGTAGTAGACCACCATTAATGTTTGCCTTGGCGTCTCACTTCATTCAGTTACACTAGGTTGGAGATGTTTGGATGCAGAAACTTCTTTATATGTTCCTGTCTCCCTGGCCCTCAGCACAGTAACCTACATTAAAATTATCATTGGTAGTCTGAGTGGTTGACTTAATTCAGTATATTTGCAATTAATATCTATCTTGGAAACAGTTTTCCTGATTTTGAGGGTTCTTTTCCAGCTAAATCTTGGACCAAAGAATTTAGATTATTTATAGCTAAATCCTTTCTCCCAACCAAATTATATTATCATTATTATTTTACAATACTAAAACTTATAACCGACAAAGCAATTAGTCTTTTTCCTTCATTGAGGTAACAAGCAAATATTTCTGTCACATCTTCAATAGACTGGCCAAAGGAGAGAAAATAATTAATATTCCTTCATATTTATCTTTACAAGCAAGCTCTGATGCTAGAAAACTTTTATATCTACTCTGTCACCAGGTGCAGAAAAGCTAGATGACTAAAAGATGAGGATATTTGGAGCTGGATGAGTCTATACAATAACTAGAGTAGATATATTACTCCTCTTAGCTCTTTATTGATGACTTCTTGACCTATATAAAAATTAAAAAATCAGTAATGGTTATTATTATTATTCTGACGAGTAGTCAGTAAGCGAGTTCTGAATAGAATTGTAATAATCATCCTAGATGTCAGTCCCAGCTTTTGCCTCCCTTCTGCCACCATTTTCGTTTTGTTTGCAGCTGCCATTTTATGGCCTTATCCATTGAACAATTTGATATTCAAATTTGTGGTATCACCTCAGCCTTCCCGTCCTTGAGATTACTCCCTTATATTACTCCCTAATTTCATTTCCTCTGTGATTTTCCCAAAGTCATCACATGTTGCTGATGCCTACCAAGCCTTTCCCATGTCTGCAAGTATTAAAAGTCCATTCCAACATGGAAATATCCAGGCCCTGAGAGAGAGAATTTTATCATTTTTACTTAGGATAATTCTGCATATTGGCACAGTTAGTTTGCTTAGCAAGAGAAGAAAAAAAGAAAGGAGGAATGCGGAATTTAGTTCTGGATGGCATAAAATCTTTAAATAATATAATATGAGGAAGGACCAGCAGATGACATAATGGTTATATCACAGGACTCCCATGAAGTCTACCATGGTTCAAATCCTGGACCCGGTAGCTTAAACCTCACATGGGGTGAGTGTGTGTGAATGCTCAAAATCCTGAAAGGAGAATGAGGAAGGAATCGCATTGCAGCATGGCCATACCCTTGGGGGTTGATTTCTCACTTTCTGACTCTCTGTCTTCCTTCATCTCTCTAATGAGAACACATGTTCTATAGCAAAAATCTCTCTCTCTAAAAAGAGAGATATTTATGGAAAAAAGTCACTATATATATACATATATATCTACATATCTATATATCTACATATCTACATATCTACATATCTATCTATCTATCTATCTATCTATCTATCTAGATAAATATAGATAGATGCAAGCATCCATGACCCCATCGGAGTGTACCCTTAAATAAAGCAAGACATATTCTCCACTTTGAAGAGTTGACTCATTGAATTCTCATCATGAGTTTAATAAAATATCAAAAATGATAGAAGTTGGGAACCAGCAGTTAGCATAATGGCTATGTCGCTGAACTCCCACGTAGTCGACCACGGTTTGCATCCCGGACCCGGTGGCTTAAATCTCACGCCGGACACGTGTGCGTGCGTGCCCAAGATCCCAAGAGGAGAATGGAGGAGAAGGGATTGCAGTGTGACCATCCCCCCTGGGGGGTGATGTCTCGTTTTCGGTCTCTATGTCTCTCTCTGTCTGTCTGGCGAGCGCACACGCCCTATAGTGAAAAACCTCTCCAAAAAAAAAAAAAAAAAAACAAAACAAAACAATGATAGAAGCTATACAGGTTAGAACATTCACTTTACCAGTTAAGTGGCATATGTGATTGAATGTATAAAAGAAATTAAAATAAAGTAAGTAAACATTTTAAAAGTACGGAAAATTAATAATAAATAATTGAAAAAAGTGATAGAAGCTGATATGGGAGTGCTTTTCCTTTGTTTTATTTTGCTTTTTTTTTTTTTTCTCCAGACTTGCGTACTAAGCCTAGATCAGGATGCTTGATGGCATTCCAGAATAATGTTTGGAGATCCTGGCAGGATTTATTAGAGAAGTCTATTCACAGTGAGTGTGTCTACAGTTATAAAGTAGCTATCCCTGGGATGTAGTAGAAAGACATATTCCAAATGTAAGATGGAGTAAAGGAGAGAAGAACCCTACAATAGACTTGGAAACTATACTCAGAAACAGAGGACAAGATAAGCCCAAGGCCCAGAAATATGTAGAATGAGAAGGAAGAATTATAATAATTATTCCAACATAAGAAATAGAATTAGAGAGTTTTAATACTAAAAGGAGATGGGACAATAGGAAAAAAAAGGTAGCTCATGATTCACATAACCTTTTCCTACAGTGTCCCAGGCCGGCTTCCAGCAAGAACATCACAGAGCACACCATCAAAGGTACCTAGAGTGACTCTGAGGCACTTCTCCTGTATTTCTGGAGCATCTTATGTAGCCTGAAGACTTAATAAAGAGACAATCGGGTTGTGATTGTGGTGGTTGTTTTGTCTGTATGTATGCATGTGTGTGATCTATGTTTATAAGCATTCTTACTTCAAGCCAGGGCTAGTCTGAGCAATGGTGGAAATTAGCCTAGGAAGATTAATGGTTATGACTGGGAGATGATAGAGACATGAAAATGGGGCCAGGTTCTAACAAGAAAAATTCAACATGCCATAAAACTATGTTGTTGGCACATTAATTAGATTGGGAATTTTGCGTACAGAGAAATAATTATGTAATTAAGAAAAGGCTTATGAAAGAGTTAGGATTTGAAAAAAGGATCAGCTAATAGACAGTACCACTATCATCTTTCTTTGTAGGGTGTGTCCAGAACTCACCATGTTAATTTTCAATAACACCACCACCTCCTCCAGTTTCCTCCTCACTGCATTCCCTGGGCTAGAGCGTGTTCATGTCTGGATCTCCATTCCGGTCTGCTGTCTCTACACTGTCGCCCTCTTGGGAAACACTATGATCTTGTTCGTCATTATTACTGAGCGGAGTCTTCACAAGCCCATGTACTATTTCCTCTCCATGCTCTCAGCTGTGGACCTGTGTCTGACCATCACAACTCTCCCCACTGTGCTTGGGGTTCTCTGGTTTCATGCCCGGGAGATCAGCTTTAAGGCCTGCCTCGTTCAGATGTCCTTTGTGCACACCCTCTCCTTCCTGGAGTCCTCAGTGCTGGTAGCCATGGCTCTTGACCGCTTCATGGCTATATGTCACCCACTGAAGTATGCTACCATCCTTACAAACAAGATGATCTTGATGATTGGATTGGTGATCTGCACACGACAAATGGTTTTCCTGTTTTCTATTTTTGCAGCTTTGAAGAATGTATCTTTTCATGGTGACCAGGAACTTTCCCACCCATTTTGTTACCATCCAGATGTGATCAAATACACATATTCTAACCCCTGGGTCAGCAGTTTTTTGGGCATGTTTCTTTTGCTTTACCTGATTGGCACTGACTTACTGTTCATTCTTTTCTCCTATGTCCTGATTATCCGTACTGTTCTAAACATTGTGGCCCCCAAGAAGCAACAGAAAGCTCTCAACACTTGTGTCTGTCACATCTGTGCAGTCATTGTTTTCTACGTTCCAATGATCACCCTGTCTTTAGTGCACCGTCTCTTAAGCTCCACCCCAAGGGTGGTCTGCAGCATTCTAGCCAATATTTATCTGCTCTTACCCCCTGTACTAAACCCTATCATTTACAGCTGGAAGACCAAGTCCATCCGTCAGGCGATGTTTCAGCTGTTCCAATCTAAGGGTCCATGGACCCCCGAGTGAGAGGTCCTAGAGAAAAGTAGGATTGAAGGGGGAAATTTTCAGTACATAAATTATGTTTATGGAGGAAAGAGATTTGGGCAATGTGTCCTGCAGGCATTTTGACTACTGAAGCAATTCCAACTAAATTGCAGGAGTGATAAGAAAGTAAAATTTATCTTTTAGTTTATCAGTTTCTTTTAGTTTGTTTTTGGTGGTGTATGCTTATTTTCTTTTTAGATTTTTGCCATAGGGCACTGGTGTTCTCCAGAGAGAAACACAGAGAGAGGGAAAGTGGAAAATCACCTCCCAGGCAGATGACCATGCCATAATCTCTTGCCTTCATTCTTCCCTTGGGATTTTGGCATGTACGCACATGATGTGTTTTCCAAGCTGCTGGGTCTAGGACTTGAATTGCAGAGTTTGTCATGTGGGATCAACACCTAATCACCATGCCAACTGCTGGCCTGAGTTCATCAAAACATTTTTTTTTTTAATACCACAAATTAGTTTTGTCTATGTTCCTAAAATATTTAAAACAATGACATGGATGCCTGCATACAATAAAACATTAAAAGCAAAATGAAGTCACCATAATCCAGTGGAACAATTGAATCTGTACGTCTGTATATCTGTATGTTCTTATTTATGCCAGAGAATATGAGCCAGGGGGAGATAGAGGGAAAACAACCAATAGGGTCAAGTCATGCCTTTTTTTTTCTCCTTTTTCTTTATCTGTTCAGAATCCTGGGCATGTGCCCAGCATATCCTTCAAGTTGCCAGAGCCAGGATTCTGACAGCGGTTGGCCATGTGGGATCTGGTTCCCTCAACCCAAAATATTGTCAGTAATGTACTTCATATTTATTATAATTATGAATAAGGTATGGATTTGTATTTTGTTGTTATTTGTAATTTTGCTGTTATTTCAAGCATTGTATTTATTTGGAGAGGTTTTTGCTATAGGGCGCGTGATCTCGCCAGAAAGACAGGGAAACAGAGAGACAGAAAGAGAGAAATTACCCCTCAGGGAGGATGACCATGCCACAATTCCTTCTCCTCCATTCTCCTCTCAGAATCTGGGCCATGCACACACACGCCCCAGGCTTGAGTTGAAGCCACTGGGCCTGGGACTTGAACCATGGTCGACTACATGGAACTCCAGTGACATAGCCATTACACCAACTTCTGGTCCCTCAAGCATTTTATTTAATAGATTTGTAAGCTATTTTGTTATAAAGTCAAATTCATGAATATGTAATTAAAATTTTGTGAGTATATTGAGAAATACAGAAAATTATTAAAATATAAAAATTATTTACAATCCTATTGACAAATTATATATGACTTATCTTTCCTTATGCTTTTAAAATTAGTTTGTTGAGCCAGCAGGTGCCATGATGGTTAAGATGCTGAACTCCCACATGGCTGCATAGTTGGAGTCTGAGACCTGGCAGCTTGCATTCTCACTTTCTCTTTCTCTCTTTGTCTCTCTTTGGTAAGGGGTTGTGCCTTATAACAAATAAAAATAATAATAATAAATAAAATTAAATAAACAATTCTAAGAAAAAATTAAAAATATTTTGTTTCGTTGCCAGAAGCTAGGTATGCTCACCAGAGAGAGAGCTTTCCATAATTGGATATGGTCACACCAAGTCCTTTTTCTTCCATCTCTCTATCCCTTTAGGGCTTTTGGCATGAATGCATATGTGTCTGGTGTGTTTTTCAAGCTGCTGGGTCTGGGATTCAAACCATGACTGGCCATGTGAGAGCTGGTTCCAAATACACAGTCTAAACTAATCTTATTTAATAAGCAACAACTGTGCACACAAATACACACAGATACTTACAAATTAAGATAATAGTATATATACATTCATACAACTTTGTTGTTTGCATATTAGTCATTATTCTCTATTATGCTATATTATTTTATATTAGATATTGCTTCCACTAGTACGATTTCTTTTGACGCTCCATCAAAATAGGCACTTTGCCATTGTTTTATGTGTACTTAAACTACTCATTCTTTACTCAGTGGACTTGATTATGTTTCAGTTAATCCTTGACATCTAATGTGGTGCTAGAAAACCCCTTAGCTATTATTACTGTGTTGCAGGAATGAGTGATAGTGAATGATATTGTATATTATGGTTTATGTTACTATTACGTACTATTTAAAATTCTAGTAATTTTCAACAAACAGTACCATACATACATACATTTGATTACACCTTTTATTATGTTCTTAGATCATAGTAATTATTAATGATCCTTAATAATAGTAATTATCTAAGTAAATTATTAACTTTAGAAATAGCAAAATAACTGTTAGTCTAGTATGTGTCTGACATCATAGGCTCTAGACTAATACTGCCGGAGCTTAAATTTAATCTTCGAACACTTTAGCAATTTATATCCTTGGACAAGTTGTGGAACTTCTTAAAGCTTTAACTTCCTGATTTTCAAAACAGAAAACTAATAAAAATCTACCTTCTTTGCTCTTACAAAAGTTAATGGTGTAAGTACAGATAAACATATAGCCTAATGTCTGGCACCTGGTAAACTCTGGCTATATCCTATTGTTATTATCTTCTAAATTATGACTAGTTAAGTGTTACTTACATAACTACTTTTCAATAAAGAACATAATACTTTTACTTTTTGTTTTTCTATTTTCGCTATTTCCTTAGAAATGGTTGTTTTTCAAATATGGTTTTATTCATTTAGATTTAACTAAATTTTTAAGTTATCTTGGTACTTATATTGTTTATTTTTGTGTTTAACAAAATACCACACCCATAGATAAAATATTGTAAATAGGTCATCGTTTTTCCTGTCAGTATTTTATTTCTGTGAGAGAGAAAAAGTGTGTGTTCTGACAGTATTTTTACTGTTGAGACCCTCTGTCCTTGTCTCTGAGTTAGCTAGGAATACAATTGCATCATATGGCCCTTGGCCTGTTCAGGTTGGTCTGGGATCTAAACAGGGCCTTCCACGTGGTTCTAACTTTAGGCAGTAGCACCATCAAGGCTATCCTCTCCCACTATTACTTGACTAATCGGTTTGGTCAGTGTTCTGATATTCTTTAACCATGTTAAATTTTTGATGTTGTTTGGCGTATTGCACTGTTTATTCTTTTATCTTGTTCTGCTCGTTGATTTGTTGACTCAATCACACAATTTAAGGCTGTTTAATAAATATTACTATCAGATTGAGTGTTGTCATGTTTTTTGTGTTTTTATTTTTTGCCTTTATTTATAATAGAGCCCATGAATGAGAGAGTCAGAGAAAGGAACACCCTTCACAGGGTTGGATCATGCCACAACCCCTTCCTCTGTTCTTCCCGCCCTTTGGACCGTGGGCCTTTGTGCACATCAGGTGTATGCCAGGCTACCCAGCCGGGGCTTAGAATGGCAATAGTAATGTGGATCTGGCTTCTCTTGAATAGCGCATTAGTGCTGCCTCATGGAGCCACCCTCTCCATTTAGTTTCATCTTACATTTTCCAGTTTACTTTTTTGAGTCTATTTCTAGAATTATTTTGGTAAATTCTTGGAGAAATGTTACAGCAAGCTTCATTGGAAATGTATTAAATCTTCTATTTTAACTGAGAGAAACAAACAATTTTTAGTATATTAATTCTTCTGACTCAGAAATAATTCTTAAAATTTTTTAAATTAATTTTTATTTATTTACATTCATTCAAAATAAGATTTTCCATCATGTATACGTTGCATATTGGCTCAATCAAGGATATTACCATACATGTTATCATCAATCAATGATTTTCCATTTTGTATTTGTTTTATTATTATTATTATTTATATATAACTATACATTTAATCACTATATATCACTTAGGTTGTAAAGATACTTTACTCAGCATGATATACACCTCAGTCCAGCCCAGTTGAGACCACCATACACATCCTCATCAACAAATAATAAACCATATTTGTGTCCCACAAATGTCTTACCTCTCCAATTTTTCCCCAACTTTCCTTGATCCAGAAATAATACTTATTGACATGTTATGATTTAAGTCATTTTTGTATGATATAGATTTGAATTTCTGAGTTTAGGTGAAACTCTAAAAGAGGTACAAACACTCTTTATTGTGTTTTTCATGATGTCTGTTCTTTTTTGTGTGTGTGTGGTTTACCAGACAGGTACCATTTTTCAGAGCAGCTTCGCTGACTTAAAATTTTTAGTTACTTGGGACTTGCAGATGGTATAATGATTACATTGCTGGACTCTCACATAGTTAACTGTGGTCCAAATCCTGAACCTGGTGCTTAAAAATCACACTGGGCACATGTGCTTGCATGCCCAAAATCCAGAGAGGAGAATGAAGAAAGGATTGCGGCATGGCCACCTTTCTTGGAGGGGGATGATTTCTTGCTTTCTGTCTCTCTGTCTCTCTGAAAAGCACATATGTCCTATAGCAAAAATCTCTCTTAATTTTTTTTTTTAGTTACTCCTTACTGACTTTGACAATAGATTTGGTATCAGTCCAGATGTTCAGTATGCTTAGATGTATGACCTCATATTCTGAGTTGCTAGAGGCTTCTCTGTTGTTATCATTATTTTTTTCTCTTTTTCTTTTGCCTTAGCTGAAAACTCATGCCGGGCACAGGTGCATGCATGCCCAAAAACCCAAGAGGAGAATGAAGGAAAAGGGGTTTTGGCCATCCCCCAGGGGGATGACTTCTCACTTTCTATTTCTCTGTCTCTCTGGAGAGCACACACACCCTATAGCAAATATCTTTCTCTCTAAAAAAAAAAAAAAAAAGTTACAAGGTGTTGTTATAATTTAAGGATATAAAAACTCTAAGTAGTTCACTGAGTTCAGTGATTGTCCCTATGTGGTTGTTAAGGAAAGAACAAAGCGGGGAGTTTGTTCACTAACTTGTACTTGACAACAGACTCCTCTCACTTAAAAGAGAAATGAAAAATTTCAACAAAATTGAATGAAGTCCTCCGACACATACAGAGTATCTGAAACCCATCAGAGAGAAAACCAG